ACGTTCCCTTTCGAAGGGAACTCAACAATACGTCGAATGACGCTATGGGGAACGAAATACCCACTCCGCCATGCTGAGGGGAGTGCATGCCGAAAGGCAGTGACAACTGTCAGAACCAGTAATTCCAAGAAACACTGAAACCACTCACCCTATGTTACATCGGGCTGTCAGTGACAGCACTCCCTACCGGTCATAGCCCAAGCTAATGAACCAAGAAAAAACAGAACGTAATAACGTGAGTAAATCAGGGCCAGCTCAAAGGCTTTAGGACCACAACTTCAAAATAGAAGGGGTCCCTTCTAGGGAGTGTGGCTAGGGGGCCAAAGAGACCCCCAGCCAGTCACTATTCAGGAGAACACTCCTCCTGAAATGCCCCCAGGCTGGCCTGGTGATCTGTACTAAGACACACAGTCTGGCCATAGCCTGTCCGTCCAAGACAGAGCCTCTGGAAATTGCCTAGAAAAGGCATCCAAAAACTGAAGGCCCGCGAAGCTGGCGGAAACCATCGAGTTTCGGATCACAGAGACGGGATCCTCCGGAGAGTGTGACTCAACCTCGAACCAATGGGAATCGTACACTCAATCCACGAGTTTCCACCCAGTGCTCGCTTTTGAGCACTGAGGAAGTAAGAGAGGGATCAAAAATCAGGAAGGTCAAAGAGACCTAAGACCTGATGACCCCATGTGTGGGGAGCTCCGATACATGAGGGCTCATGTCAGGAAGGCCGTACGTTGTGCGGCCTGAAACCCAACGACCACAGCATGTGGAAGCTCATCCTTCAGGAAAGCCAGAGGCTAGAAACCTGACAGACCCACAATGTTGGGCTACCTCGAAAAAGGTCTAATCAGACCTAAAACCACAGTTGTGGGAGATAGCTTGAACAAGGGAAGTGCCTGTCGTAATGTATTGCGACAAAGACACATCTACAGTGGGACCCAAAGTGAAGAACCGGAGTCTGAACCACATAAGAAGGGACCGAAGCATACCGCGCGTGACCCTCACCATATGAAATGGATTTTAAAAACTGCACAAGACATCTCGTCAGGTGACTTACCACAATAATAGGTGAAGTATGGGTTTGTGTACTTCACTCTGAATTCAGGAAGGCCTGTTGAGGCCTGTAACCTGGCGTCCACAGTGTGTGGGAGCTCATGGCCAGGAAGGCCTGGTAAGGCCTGTAACCTGGCGACCACAGTATGCGGGAGCTCGTAACCTGGCGACCACAGTATGTGGGAGCTCATAACCAGGAAGGCCTAGTGAGGCCTGTAACCTGGCGACCACATCCGGTGGGAGCTCGTACTCAGGAAGGTCAGTGAGACCCAGCCTGGTGTACCTGAAAAACCACACCAAGTGGGAGCTACTTCCAGAAGTTAGCTCTTAAGAACTCTTAAAGTGGGACCCGAGGAAAGACCGGGGTCTGAGCCACATAAGAAGGGACCGAAGCATACTGCGCGTGACCCTCACCATAAGAAATGGATTTTAAAAAGCGCACAGGACATCTCGTCGGGTGACTTACCACAATAATAGGTGAAGTATGGGTTTGTGTACTTCACTCTGAATTCAGGAAGGCCTGGTGAGGCCTGTAACCCAGCAACCACAATATGTGGGAGCTCATAACCAGGAAGGCCTGTTGAGGCCTGTAACCTGGCGACCACAGTGTGTGGGAGCTCATGACCAGGAAGGCCTGGTAAGGCCTGTAACCTGGCGACCACATTGGGTGGGAGCTCGTACTCAGGAAGGTCAGTGAGACCCAGCCTGGTGACCACAACCTGTGGGAGCTTACTCCACCAAGTGGAAGCTACTTCTTCCAGAAGTTAGCCAGAGAAGGGCGTCCCTGTAGCCAGTGACAGGACGCCACTTAAAGTGGGACCCAAGGGAAGACCGGGGTCTGAGCCACATAAGAAGGGACCGAAGCATACCACGCGTGACCCTTACCATACAAAATGGATTTTAGAAAGTACACAAGACATCCCGTCATGTGATTTACCACAATAATAGGTGAAGTAGGGGTTAGTGTACTTCACTCTGAATTCAGAAAGGCCGAACTTGAGGCCTGTAACCTGGCAGCCACAACAAGTGGGAACCCATAATCAGGAAGGCCTGACAAGGCCTAACACCCGATAGTCCCAATGCATGGGGAGCTCACATTCAGGAAGGCCGCTGAGGCCTGCAGCCTGACATGTGAAGACTCACCACTACAACTTAGCGACCACGAAAAGTGGGGGTTTCACATTCAGGAAGGCCTGGTGAAGCCTGCAACCTGACATGTGACAACCCACAACCAGGAAGGCCAATGAAGCCTGAAGCCTGGTGACCACAGAGTGGGAGCAAAGTGCTGAGGGAAGGTGGTGAGGCTGTAGTCTGGCTACCGCATCATGTGGGAGCCCACATTCAGGAAGGCTGGGTGAGGCCTGTAAACTGACTACCACAGTATATGGGAACTCATAACCAGGAAGGCCCCTTTGAGGCCTGTAACCTAGCAACCACAATGTGTGGGAGCTCATCACCAGGAAGGCCTGGTGAGGCCTATAACCTGACCACCACAGAAAGTGGGAACTCATAACCAGGAAGGCCCCTTTGAGGCCTGTAACCTAGCAACCACAATGTGTGGGAGCTCATAACCAGGAAGGCCTGGTGAGGCCTGTAACCTGGCGACCACAATGTGTGGGAGCTCATAACCAGGAAGGCCTGGTGAGGCCTTTAACCTGGCGACCACAGTACGTGAGAGCTCGTATCCTGGTGACCACAGTATGTGGGAGCTCATAACCAGGAAGGCCTGGTGAGGCCTGTAACCTGGCGACCACAGTATGTGGGAGCTCATAACCAGGAAGGCCTGGTGAGGCCTGTAACCTGGCGACCACAGTATGTGGGAGCTCATAACCAGGAAGGCCTGGTGAGGCCTGTAACCTGGCGACCACAATGTGTGGGAGCTCATAACCAGGAAGGCCTGGTGAGGCCTTTAACCTGGCAACCACAGTATGTGGGAGCTCATAACCAGGAAGGCCTGGTGAAGCCTGTAACCCAGCGACCACAGCATGTGGGAGCTCATAACCAGGAAGGCCTGGTGAGGCCTGTAACCCGGTGACCACAATCAGTGGGAGCTCATAACCAGGAAGGCCTGGTGAGGCCTGTAACCTGGCAACCACAGTATGTGGGAGCTCCCACAGATGTCTCTCCGTGGCCACCATAGCACCGACAGAACAGCAGCTTGCTTGGTGGCCCGGAGTCCCGCAACAGATCGGTCTGGTAGGCCTGAGGACCACAAGGGCGTGCAGAACCGCACCTGCCTGACCTGCTGCCGTGTACGCTCTGTCATTCAAGCATGAAGATGTCTTGAGCAGCTTGGATGACAGTGTCAGAGCTCTTAGTGAAGAGGACCAACCAGAGACGAGATAGTTAGCCAACGTCTCGTCCACTGGCGGCCTCGACACTTATCCGTTCTCCACGGCTCCCTCCACAGCAGCGAAACTAGCCCGCTGATGCAGATAGAGACGTGAGGAGAACGGATTCTTCCATACCCTCTCGATCCCAGCGTGGAGATCGGAAACGAATGGAAGGCTCATCCGGGCTGGTGGCTTATGGGTGGGGAGGAACCAGCCATCCAAAATACCATGAGCGGGTTCCTCCCAGACGCGCCTCCACTGCAACAGCAATCTGTCTGAGGCGCGCCCCATAATGTCAACCAGCTCAGCGTACACTGGGCAGGAGGGCTGAAATGATTCGGTCTCAACCAAACTGACATCCTTTTATGTATATATATATATATATATATATATATATATATATATATATATATATATATATATATATATTACAGCCAACTCCTGCCCTGCCCAAAGAGAACAGTTACAGATTCACCAAAGAGAGAGAGCGCTCATTTTCTCTCTTCTTAGATGTTCAACATTAATCTGTAACTCACCCTCGTCAGCTGGTAGATCATCCGCGAGGTTAACGCCCCTCTCCCGATAATCTGCCAGCTCCATCTGAAAGCTCCACGAGCTCAACCGCCACTGAGCCTCAGCCCGAGCGGGAACCGGAACCGCGGGTTCAGATGCCGCGCCCACTTTCCTCGAGAAGTGGGTCAGACGAGAGCAGAGAGTTCTGAAAGGAAAAACTCTCAGTTCGCGCAAAAAACTCCCTCGAGAGCTTCCCGCGAATGCTCTTCTCTCAGGCAGAACACGCACAGATCGTGTGAATCCTCCGGTGTCAAATATCTGGACACAAGTCGGCACACTCGCGCAAAGTGTTTCTCCACGTCTCTGCGCGTTTAATCGTTGATACTATCACACAGACAAACAGTCCCTGAAGACGAAAAGATGTTGTCACGGTTTCAAGGCGCCCTTCTTATACATCCAGATTGACGCGCTCATCATTCAAGCTGATGATGCACGGGCTGTCGCCGGTCAACCTGATTACTGTGAGTTGATATTTGATTTCAGACACCTGTCACGCCTGAGGCGTTCCCCATAGCGTCATTCGACGTATTGTTGAGTTCCCTTCGAAAGGGAACTGCAAATTTAAAAAAATAAAATAAAAACATAATCAATTTCACAACACGCCGGGTGAAAGATAGGGCCCTCGGTCTCTGCGAGATTCGGAAGGAAATGATTCAGGGATTCAATTTCTGGGTTGACGTAACTGTGAGACAGGAAGTGAGTGCTTCTAATTGACTTGTTCTAGACTTCTATTTCTCTGTTGATGTCAATGGGGTTCAGAGAAAAAGTCTAGCATCACTTGTTTGCAGATGCCACTTTTGTTTGATGTTTCTAATGTGGGTTTTAGGTCTGTCTAAAGGGTCCAAATACTTGGAGCTACATTAAGCTAAAGTATATGGTGTATTCTGAAGGACTGGACCTGGTATAACAAATGAATCCACTTGTATTACTTGATAAACAATGCCACAAAGCAAGTGTGGGATTTGTCCTTGAGAGTCTGGTATGCGACAAGTCTGCAGTAATGAGATGAGCAGGTGAAGTTTCGAATGAAAATGGAGCTCTGACCTCAAGCATTGTGCCATTCCATAGGCGCGCTCTGACAATGATTTTGGCCGAGGTGTTCATGCCAAGCAAGGGGCAGCTGAATGTCTGACAGAGGGCAGATCCCTTGGTACAGTCCTGATGTTGAGAGAGAATAAGCAGTGACAGCCAAAACACTCTTAATTTTGCCTGTGTCTGGTCTCTGTAGCATACTACATCATGCAAAGTATCAGAGGAGACATGACATGCTAGAATCATCCAGTTGCTTAGCAACAAAACAATGGTTGAAGGAGATGGATATACTCACAAGGATGACATGCTGTTTCGCCTGGACGGCCTGCAGATTCGGTGAGGTCTGCGGTTCAGTAGGTTCAGACTCCAAGGAGTCCTCATCTCTTTTCCTCCTCCCAGACTTGCGCTCTGACACCTAATCCACAGGAGGTAACACGTCCATCACATTAACATGCACATTATATAGTAAGTGCATGACAACAGAGTGCTGAAGGAATGACGTAATTTTGTAGGCCAAAACCTAGAAACATGTTAGCATTATAGTACTTTAAGTGCCATCGTCCCAAAGTCAGCGTTTTTTTTTTTTTAATTAAATGTCTGAAATCGTTTTATTCTCTTAGCCCGAAAGAGTCCTTAATGGTGGCGACATTGAAGTCATAGTTGTTGTCGTTCATTTATCGCCTGCGGTTTAGACTATAATCCATAGGTTTTTGCGGAGGGCAACCAGGGTGATGCTAATTTCTGGGCTGGCCTACAAAAATACGTCACTGATGTGCTATGTTGGATTATGTGATTAATGATCATGCATCATGTTGAATTGGAATATTTGATTGAGCAGTTAGCCTTGATATTCTCTCTTGAGTTCTTGTGCTTAGGAGGTCTAGATTTTCAGCAAATAAATCCATGTCCAACTGATTTATAGGCACGGAGAGATAGATAGTCCACAAACCGCCCTCTGTTTTATATTAGGAGATGGACTTTTTGAAAATAAATCCCACACGGCTTTGTACATTAAGTGAGATTGCAGTGAGAACTCTGGGTAATATAGTTTTGGGAAAGGAGGAGGTCCCAGTCCCAGCATGATTTCCTCGGCTGATTCTCAGTGGGATTCAACTGGCTGAACACTACTAAACTTCTCAGTCATCAATTGCGTATTGCAGAAAAATAATCAGTGATGGTGACACACATACATCTAATCACTTACTGTGAGATTAAGGGGGTTTACGATGTTATTTTCAGGAACACAGAAGGGCTTGGACGTTCCTGTCATCTGAATCTCTGACAGGTAAAGCAGCCACTTCTGATTAGTCAAGGCATAAGGCCACTGAAAGATCACTTCCAGAAACCCCAGATTTCCCAGAGGTTTACCAGAAAGGTCCACCTGCAGACAAAGGAATAAACACAAGTAGAAACTATTTATAGTAGTTGTAAACTGTCTAGGAAACAACTTGTTTAAAAGTTTGGAATAATTACGTATTTTAATGCTTTTTAAGTAAGTCACTAATATAACGCTCAACAAGGCTGCACTTATTTTATTACAAATACAGTAAAAACAGTAACATTGTGAAATAATATTGCAATAGGATCTGTGTTCTAATTTAATAGATTTTAAAATGTAATTTATTCCTTTGATGGCAAAGCAGCATTTTTAGAATTCATTACAACAGTCTTCGGTGTTACATGTGACATGATCCTTTAGAAATCATTCTAATATGATGATTTGGTGCTCAAAGAAGTTTTACATTCACATTACATTTTACATTTATTCATTTGGCTAACGCTTTTATCCAAAGCGACTTACAATTGCTATATATGTCAGAGGTCGCACACCTCTGGAGCAACTAGGGGTTAAGTGTCTTGCTCAGGGACACATTGGTGTCTCACAGTGGATTCGAACTCGGGTCCCTCACACCAAAGGCATGTGTCCTATCCACTGCGCCATCCCCACCATGTTTTTTCTTTTTTTTTTTACGTTAACAATTTAGCACTAATAATACTTGAGAACCAAATCAGCATACTAGAATGATTTCTAAAGGATCATGTGACACTGACAACTGGTTGTGTCTGCAGCAACCAAGACATTTTATCAATCGAAGTAGCTCCGCCTAGTGTGAAATCTCATTGCTCCAAAAATCCCAGTACAAAAAGCAGTACGGCCAAAAGGGGTCACATCATGCCACAGATATGGCAAGCATGAGTGATACAAACAGTTGGTGTGTCCCAATTGGCATGCACTATTCCGTCATTTTGTAGAATAAATAATGTTAGTATTGTGTTCACACTGAAAATTCCCACAGTAATAAGTGCACTCCAAATACCCTGATAGTGCACATATTTAAATGAAAACACGAAAGGTGCTTTCTCAATCAGTAGGTTGCCGAGACTAGCGAGGTTTTGTCCTTCCTAGTCCAGTTCTTCTGAGGCTAGACTCCTTATCATGTTCTTGTGCTCAAAATGAAGGCAACAATTATTTGGCCACTTTAGGGTTGTGAAATGTAAGTAAAACATTTCCATAGATAATCTGTGCTTGAAAGTACTAAAGTACTAAATCTAAGTTTATGTCCCAACTAGTTGCATTTGCAGCAAACAAGACATTTTGTCAGTTATTTGGTTTCTATTTCCACTGTATTAGATAGCTTCACCTGGAGTGACATTCTCAAAAATCCCACTCCAAAAATGCCACATCACACCCACTTAGTCAATGTTAGACTGTAAAAAGCATCTTGCCGTGAAGTTGAATTCCACTGGGCTTCCAATATCACTGGTACTTTTCATGGCTGATTCTCCAATTACATTGCCACTGAATTCTGTCTTAAGGTTGAAGATAGGGCTAAAAGAAAAATAGAATTTTCCAGATTATTATTTTTGCACACTCATAATATTTTTGTATAGCTCTTGCTGAAGTTTGATGTCAGGCAAAAAAAAAAAAAGGTAAGAAATTTCTGTATGCAATGCTCAAGTGCAATATGAGTCATTCTGACATCACTTTGAAAAGCGGTAAGGTAGAAGTGAAGATCCAGTGAAATGCTCTAAGGATAGGAATGATGCGTAACTCACATATTAAAGATGGGCTGTAGGACGTACTCCACCGTGAGCACTTTCGGCAGGGAAAAATCATCCTGATCGCTCTGCCTGAGAAGTGTAGATGAAATCATCAGCTAGTGTCCAAATCTGAATCATACCGTTTGAACAAACTTCTTTCACAGATAGTTGTTCTTTCATATGTATATAAACCCGTATGTTAGTGCTTAAAGCTGCAGAACTGAGCAGTGAATCACTGTATTTGGCCCCGTTTATCCACCTTCCTGTGGGTGGGTAGGGATGTTAATGATATTCTTTCTATAGATAAATCTGCTCAACTTTACATAACTCCTTACAGAGAGATCATACAATATTTGTAATTATTATTTAGGACTACATTGATGTGATATAATGACTGAAAGTATAAACTCATACAAGTAAAAACCATCACAAAATGAATCATACAATATTAAATAAAAAGGATAAGTAAACTTTTGAGCAGCATAATGTGCATAAATTATTCTATTTAAAATAAATAGGTCAATTCCAAATTTGAAAAAAGCTAAACATCTTAGAGTAGAGATTTTGCACAGGGTTTGTATGAGCATAAACAATTTCTCTTCAGGATTGTGTGTTTTTAGTAGGGATATTGATTTTTGAAAGCTCATTTCCTGCAGAACATCTCTCCCCAAATGTTCATCTTATTTGAGAATCTGAAGAAAATCATGCCGGTATCTCATACGTTGAGAGCTGCAATTCAGTCTGAATCTCCTGCATGTCTAATGTGATTCCAGTAGTTTCAAAGGTGATCTCAATCTCAACCTGTAAAAGACAGAAGTGCCCGCAAGAAAATTAAGACATTTTTTAAAGCTGCAGTCCATAGCTTTTTGGGGGTTAAAAATGATCCAAAATACATATTTGAGAAAATAGATAACCAGCCAGTGTTCAAAACTATCTGCTTGCCTCAGCTCGATTCAAAGTAGTAAGCTTGTAATAAAGTTTTTAATTCCAGTGTTACTGGTGGATTTTCGCGGGAGATTCGAGCATGTCTTTCTGTCATTACGTCACATCTGTACACATAAAGAAGGAGTCTCGGCTAGTATAAGCTTTATTGCGAGTGAGGATGTTGGTTTAGGAGATTTATAGTCTTTTCTCACAGCACTTGATATAATTAAACTTATCAATTTGATGGCGGATCCAGAAAGGTTCAGATGACAATCAACAGTGACAACTAGAGATTCACCCGCTGTAAAATGCAAAAGACTTTGTTCGGACTTCGGAGTGGCTACAAAAAAAAAAGAGATTGCAACCGGACCCATGCGAAAACAGGGATAATATCGGAAGGACATGTAGTCACGCAATGCTTACGTTGTTAACAATAACAATTTGAGATCAAAGTATAACAGTTTTACATGATATGATAAACGATTGTTAGATTTAATAAGCACGATTTACTGCAATGTCAGAACCAGAACAAAAGTGGATGTTTCTTACTAGTTCAGACATTTTCTGGTGACAATTATTATGTTGGTCATACTTCCAAAAAGAATAATCTGTGATTCTGAATAGCAGTATCCACGCCGGTGCGGTGACTGACAGACTCACAGTCTCCTCAAACATTGCGTTCATCCGCGCTGTGCCGTGTTGTGTGTGTTTAAGTAAAAATCGTGTAGTTAATAATTCCACGAGTGATTGCAAATACAGATTTAGAACAGAGATGGCGACAATATGTCTACCGGTACTTGTTAATCCAAGGGTAACAGTGCATTTCAAACCTATGCATGTTAAGTCACTGATAACAATGAGTACTTACTCTCTGATTTCTTTGAAAGGGGTCTCCCAGCGTACACAGAAGAAAAGGAACCCCGGAGGAAAAGTTAACATTCAAGTTCTGCAAGACACAAACAGGAGCTTTGTAAAAAATTATGTACACTACTATTCAAAAGATACATTTGTATCTTTGTAATGTTTTTGAAGGAAGTCCCTAATGCTCACCAAGGATGTAATTATTTGATCAGGAATACAGTAAAAACAGAAATACTGTGAAATATTATTACAATTTAAAACAACATTTTCTTTTTTTTAATATATTTTATTATTTATTGTCAAGTGTGTTCTTGCCTTAATGAACCTGACAGAAATTAAAATGTATTAATTTACTCATCCTCTTGACATCCCTCAAGACTACGAAACACAAAGAAATGTATAATATTTCCTTATCATTTATGTCCATTCATTGAAATACATGGAGAAAAGCTGTTTTGGAAGCTCAAATGTGTTTGCTTGATGTGCAAAAAACAGATTTGAGCTTCCGTTGACCATATTTGACATGTAATTAGATCAATGTTTATATGTGAATAAAAGCCTATATTAAAATCCTTTTAAACAGCCGATCATGTCTCGTTAGAAGACTTGGTTTAAACCTGCTTGGTCTGTGTAACACTTAAGGTGGTTTTTCAAAGATTATGTTATACTTAGAAAAATGACAGTTAAAGTCCCCATGAAATCAAAATGTTTCGGCTTTTAGTTTAGGTTAGCCTTACTGTTATCTATACGCTAGTGTGCTCCAAAAAACAATGATAAAAGATGCTGTGGCTAAAATCAGGCACTTGTTCACACATTTACTATTTTTTTACATGGTAAATGGCACATAGTGCACTATATAGGGGATAAGGAATGATGCAGACAGTGTAAATATGCAATGGAGCGAATTAAGTCTGGTTTCACGCTAGGGTCTCATGAACCGCTGCAGCGCACACACAGTCCGCTCCGGTCCAAAGACACGATAGCACAGAGCAGATCATATGTGTGAGTCAGCGCAGACCATATAATGTATCGGATCCATTTGAATTCTGCACAGAATGAAGCGATATGGAGGTGATTATGAGGAGAAACAGTTATAGATTGGGAGGAAACTGGCCAAGCTGTGATAAACAAAACTTTATTGGCTAATTAAAAAAAAAAGGGAGGAGCTGTTCGATGTGTCAACAACACATTGGATGGTAATGCGTGTTTCAAGGAACAGTTGGCCTTTAAGGAGTATTGTGCAACCCTTATAGTTAAAGGGTTTATGATGATTTACCTAATAAACCCTTATGTAACACATAGCCCTGGTTTTACAGACAAGGCATAAGCTAGTCCCAGACTAAAAGCACGTTTGAGTTGTTTTACTGGCATATCTTAAAATATGTCAGTGCCATTGTTTTGTCTCAAGATGATAATATTTTTTTCTAAGGCATGTTTATAAAAGCTACTTCAATGTAAGACTAATCCTGGCCTAATCTAAACCTTGTCTGTGAAACGAGGCCTTAATGGTTATTTTCTGCAACACCCTTATAAGTATAAGGGAAACCCAAGCACGATCTTAAGCGAAAATTACACTTAAGGTGCTTTATGCAACCAGGCATGAACTAATTTAACAAAAAGTTGCTAATATAAATTGAACAGCTATGAAATTAAATAATCAAAGTGAACACACAGAATACTTTTTGTAAATGCCCAAACTCATAGCAGCAGTATATTGTAAAAAAAAATCTAAAATCCTAAATAAATTTGTAATGAGCCTATTTCCAAAAAAAGTGGAGTATCCCTTTAAGGAGCAATATTATTGCTGAAAATATTGCCTACAGGCAGAAACAAAAGATTAAGCATTCTGTTGTGTCAGTGTCACAATGTAATACTTGCTTCCAGTGTAGACATTCTGATGTCGTCATGACAGTTGTATTAATAAAAGAGACATGCAGTCTCAAATGTATGGCACAAGTGGTCGTGATAGCAATGGGTGTTGGGGTGGAGGAATGGAATTGAGTAGGGAGAGGCTTTGATTAACTTCAGATGTTGTCTCTTTTTCAGGTGTGGTGGTTTCACCACAGGTACACTTGCCTGGCCTGGTTTGAAAAGAATAGTGTTGATCACATAAATGTGCCATAAACAGTTCTAGATCAATCAATGCCGGGTCTGGATCTGGACTGTGGTCTGCTAACAGGGGCGTAATTTGCGGGTGGGACGGGTGGGACATGTCCCCACCACTTTTTGCCAGGGTCGATATTGTCCCCACCACTTTTTAAAGGCTCTCGCGGCACGGATAGCTAACAGTAGAAATAAATAAAACATCTCCAACTGGCAGACCAGTCATTTCGTTCGTTTGTAAAATAAAAGAAGCGATCTAGCCCTGAAATACGTTGTTTTTTAAATCAAGTGATCAAAGTGCTCATTGCCGCCTGCGATCTGTGGCGCGGTTACAGTGTATCTCGTGGCTCACGCACAGTCTTCACATGCGCGCTTCAATCCGTTTCGGAGACTGTTTCGGAGACTTTTGTTCGTTCCGGTGCAGAGCATGTGAGCGGGCGGAGTGGAGCGGGAGCGAGCGGGGAGCTCGAGCAGGCGGATCTTGGACAGAGCGCAGAGGGGCATTTTTTAAAGGACGGAGCGTCCGCAACAACCGCATGAGTCTGAAGCCTCAGACATTGTCCAAACGTGTGTTCTTGAAGGTGAACTTTTTCTTTCTTTCTTTCTTTCTTTCTTTCTTTCTTTCTTTCTTTCTTTCTTAAAAGTTTGACAATGTAACCCATTTAAATTGTTATGTGCACTCTGCGCAAAAGTTCAGTTATACGAATTTTGGCCTAATAGTTCATTTAGCATACTTTTAAAACGTTGTCGTTGATGTAGCCTACAGTAGGCCTATAGCCTGTATATTTTTATTTATAATAAAGCCCATTGATTCGTTTAATTTTACAGCATTTTTTGTAGGCCTAGAATTGATGAGCATAATTTTATTAGGCTATTTGTGCGCGCTGTGCAAACGTTTAGTTATCAAAATGTTGGCCTAATAGTTAATTTACTTTTTAAATTTACTTTTAAAATGTTTATGTAGGCCTTTATTTTTTATTTTTTTACATTTTTGTTTATACACTTATTTTTTTTATCTTTATTTATATTATTAGGCCCATTTATTCGTTTAATTGTACAACAGTTTGTGTGTACAATGGATAGGCTATTAGCCAATTTAAATTTTAATCGTGCGCGTTCAGCAAAAAATCAGTTATCAAAATTCTGGCCTAATAGCCTAGTTAATTTACTTTTATGTATATTTTTGTTTATATAATTTTTATTTATATTATTAGGTCACTTTATTCGTTTAATTTTACAGGACTTTCTGTAGGCCTATTCCACTGGACATGTTGTAAAGTCGGATCTATGTTTTATTCACGTGTCACGTGATTCATTCATTTATACACATGTCCCACCCACTTTTTATAACAAAGTTACGCCACTGTCTGCTAATTGGTGACATTTATGACAAAACTGAGGTGTAATTTCTGAGGACATCTAATGATCTTACCTTGGGATTCAGGCTGGAGTAGCTGAGTGAAGAGGGAATGGTGACATTTAGAAGAGCCCTGTAAGCATCTTCTGCTTTCCTGTCCTGTGATTCAATGTTGGACACATTCACCATTAACTTCAACTTCTTCACGTCAGTAGTGTAGTAAAAAATCTGGACGCCGTTCCGCCTGTAAAAACACACGCATTTCACATCACCAGTATGATGTTATGGCAAATCCAATCCATTTACGGTTCAGGTAATTTGATCAAAAGTGTTCATGAGCAAAAATGGGTCATCATTTAAAGGAAGCAAGGATTAGATTGGGTAGATTTTTTCTTTGTAGCATGATAGGAGATATTCAGTTGATAAATTCATGTCCTCTGTTTCTCCTTTCAGAGGAAGCATGATACTGAGCTTACGTGGGGAACGGTGTGTTCTGCTCATCTGTGAATGTAGCCGTCATCTGAAGGTTGCTCTCACATTTGTTATCTGCTCCACATTCTTTTTGTATGTGGATCTAAAGAAAAAGATGACATTGGTGGAATATAAGCGAGAATGTGAGCAGGTGGTGAAGGGCATCTCCAAAAAAAAAAAAAAAAATACATAATTTGCATTTGAGCGAGGCAAAGTATGCTGTCAAAGGTACCTCAGCTTTGGTAGTCAGAGCATCTCTTTGGCTGATCACAGGAAAAGCACTGAGGTCCTCCAACGTCGGTCCGCCTGAGGGAAGAGGCTCCTCCAAAGACAATTTCAGCAAGAAAACTATCGGATGAACCTTGTCTTGGATCGTCTTGGACTGAGAGTTAAATACAGAGACAATATATAAAATCTCCAACAATTATATGTTAGAGCCTTTTACTTCAGATAAAAATGGCAATTCAAAGGATGGCCTTGAATCATACCAGCCCAAGTTTCAGAGAACGACAATCTCCAGACGGATTAACAGACATTTTGCCAGTGTATCTGCCCTCTTTGTTGTCAAGGAAATGAACACGAATGTTCCGAGACGAGAGCTGATCGGCTTCCACCGTATATTGAAAAGCTAAGGAAAACAACAGATCTTACTTACACTTTATGTCGGATTTTAATTCTGACAGTCACAATGTGAAACAGTGCACTGAATCATACATTTCACATGACTGTAACATTTAGAGGTTTTGCATTTTATATTTAGGCAAAGAAATTGAGATGTGGGACTTACTAATACTCTTCTGGGAATTGGTAGTGCCAGTGTTGAATGTGTAGGAGAGACAGATCTTTGCTTCAATACTGCATAAGGAAAAGGCAAACAGACATTGACATTAATACCACACTTTTGACTAGAGCTGTACAGTTAATCAAATAACTAATCAATATTAAGATTGCTGGTGTGAATAAATTAGGCAAATATATATAACATTTAGGTCTACTCTCATTATGTCAAAGATTTCGATTTACAACCTATTTTTTGAGCGTAGTCAGAGGTGATTTTTCAGAAAAATCAATGTAATATATCTTTGTTCAATAATATTTTTTGATTAGTATTTAGCATTTGGATGGGATTGTAAAATACTATAACAATATTTATGGGCTATGATTTATGAGCTATTAAAATTTTGTATAACATTCAATAAATGCAATATTTCATGTTAAAATAAGGTCTTATTTCTTAATCATTCTGATCCAGTGTTTTGGGAAATTACTTTTGTAGTGGGCTTCCTTCATTTCCATGTAAACCAAAAAAATGTGAAAGTTGTAGCAAGACATTTAGGGATTAATTACCAGGCATCACAGGTTTGAGGGTTGACAACTTCTGGTGTCACAGTTAAAGTACTCTTTAGATGAATCACGGGGCGTGCCCTTTGTAGGCGGAAGATAAAGAAAACACAGTGAGCGAAGCTTATTGCTTACCATAACTTACTATTGTGATATAATAGTTAACTGTCTTTATGTACTAACTTGATGCTAAACAACTAAAATATGTTAAACTGAAAAAAATACAGTTACAATATCAAGTCACCTAAGCAAGACCACGCGATCATCTAATGATCCGACCGCTATGTCTGGGTAACTGTTTCTGTCCACATCCATGCCACCACTGATGGAATAGCCAAATGTCTGAAATCCACCACCTGGGATATCTTTTCCATGAATGACCTAAGGAATTAATGTAGGAGCAAAAGTTAGACATTTGCAATATGCTGTCCTGTCCCATCTAAAGTATGTCTAGTTTAAAAGCAGTATGAATATATATATAGTAAACAACACATATTACACAGACAAATAGTCAGGATTGACCCAAATTAGTGTATAACCAAACCTATGCTAAAAAAAATGGGTAAAAAAAATTGTGAACATTCTAATCAACAAAGAATCTAATAAACATTGTATCACAGTTTCCACAAAACATATTATTCTGTTGTCGTTCAGTGACGCTGATGATGTAAGAAGCTGCTGACGTGTTCTCTGGTGCGCCCGAGCTTCATTCTCAGTCTGAGGGAGTAAACAAAACAATCTTCGCAAACATGTCTACGGATTTCGACACAGAGGAAGACTTACATTTTTAAGTCACATTTATTTGAACCCGAATACATGGACCCACCGGATAACACGTCAGCAGCGTCTTACGTCACCAGCGTCACTGAACGCGGCTTGACAACAGAACCAGAAGAAAATCCAATGCTGAATAAAGTCATAGTTATTTTTGGACCAAAATGTATTTTCGATGCTTCAAAACATTCAAACTAATCCACTGATGTTACATGGACTACTTTGATGATGTCTTTATTTGCTTTCTGGACAAGGACGGTATACTGTAAATACATTTACAAAGGAGCGACAGAAAACTTTCGGACTAAATCTAAAATATCTTAAATTGTGTTTTGAAGATGAACAGAGGTCTTACGGGCATGAGGGTGGGTCATTAATAACATAATTTTCATTTTTGGGCACCAAACAAACATGTTATAATGATTTCTGCAGGATCAAGTGACGCTGAAGACTGGAGTAATGATGCTGATTCAGCGTTGAAATCACAGGAATACAATTACATTTGATATTTTTTTTTAAAATAACAATTTTCTTTCACAATATTAGCTACCATTTTTTTTTTTTTTTTTTTTTTACAGTTTTTACTTTAATAAATGTAACCTTGGCAAGCATGAGCGATTTCTTTCCAAAATATTTTTATTTTTAAATCTTACCAACCCCAAACTTTTGAACATTCAAAATGTTAATGTGACCTAAAATTGTACTTTTCTAAATCTGTAAATAATGACTACACAATAATGTGGGGAATCACTGTTGTAGTCCTTCCAGTCCGTAAAATTTTAAAAATTTGAGGTATAAACTGTTTGTAATATTTGTTGTAGAACTAAATGTAAAAGTCTTCTAAAGGAATGCTAAACACAGACTTCCTTTTACTTCTAAACAGCTATTAAAAAAAAAAAAAAGAAAAATGCTAATAGCTCTAACATGCTAATTCTCTCTCAGATTTTAGTACTAAAAACTAAACTATAAACTTACTCTTTAAACATGCTTGTTAAATACTTGTAAAAATAATCCAATATTTAAAAATGGACTAAATAAAAATAATTCTCATCTCACCTGACTTGAATTTTGGGAAATACCCATGTTGCTACCCATCCATATAGAAACGCTGCCTGTCCTGTGATATGGAGCACCAACAGCAAAATCTGTGAAGGAAAGCAGGAGCGTCAAAATTTAAATAAAATACTTCTTAGTAATGCCACAAGAAGGCATCAAAGTAAAATGTCCTTGACTGTTACTCTGACTGAGCACTTCACACAAAAGTTAATTATTGCAAATAACCAGCACATTAACAATAAACTAATAAAAGCTAAATACATGTTACTTGTACTGAGCAAATACAGAAAAAAAAAAAACACCACAAATTCTACCTTGGAAGCCGTCCTGGTTCACATCACCAATAGCAACAACAGCCATGCCAAAAGCGGATTCCTTAGGCCCAGTGAGGACCACGTCAGCTTTGTCACGAAAAGACCCGTTCTGGTTCATATAGACATAGACTGCACCACCTTCATCTTTTTTCCGGTCAAAATAGAAAGGGGCTCCAACAATCAGATCCTTCCAGCTATATGGATAACATGAAAACACCTCCATGTCAAGTTCATACATTTCATTAGTGGCCTCAATTAAAAGGGAGCAAAAACCCACAAATTTTCTTTACCCATCATTGTTAAGGTCCACAACAGCAACACTGTTGCCAAAATAGGATCCTACTTGTTCCCCCATGATAGTTCTTTTGACTATTCCATTGTTAACAGTATTAAAAAAGTCAGCCATCATCACCGATCCTTTGGCTTCGTCTCTTGGAGCTCCTGTTACCACTGTGTCTTTGTCTTTGCTTAGTACATCTCGATCCACAGCTATAGAGTAACCTGCAGAGCAATCAGTGAACAATAACCAAGTGTCATGTTCTATATCTACATATTTGTAAAAAATAAATGTGTGTGTATATGTGAAGAGTTCAGATGCAAAAGCCTTTAAGTGCCATTTGAAATTTTCTTCTAGAATGATCATTTTTATCAAGCTTGTAAATTTAAGTTCAGTGATTTCACTTAAATGGCAATGATAATTACCTATTAATTGTTATTTAAGTGAAATTACTGAACTTAAATAACAAGTTTGATAAAAATCATCATTAAAGAAGAAAATTTCAAATGGCATTTAGAGGCTTTTGCATCTGAACTCTTCATATATATATATATATATATATATATATATATATATATATTAGGGATGTCCCGATACCACTTTTTCACTTCCGATACCGATACCGATGCCGCACCTTTGGCTTTTGCCGATACCGATATTAGTCCGATATTTTTTTTTTTCGTGGTCCGACGTGCCGTATACGGCCCACAGGGTGGTTTATAGGTTTAACTTTGTGAAAGACAAAACAAAACAAACACAAAAGTAAACATAATACATATCTTTGGAAAGCTGAGAAACTCGTGATTCGAACGACGTAAACCATTTTAAGATACAATCAACACAGCAGGCACAATCTGTCTCTTTGTCAGACCACCAACAGCCAAAACAAACCAACACAAACTGGAAGAAACTCACCAATTAGCCATCTGTTAGTCCACATTCCAACAAAAATGGTTTGGTTTCACTGTAAAGCGTCCATACAATCCAATTTGAAGAAGTTTTTAGTCCAAAACAATTGTATATATGAATAAACATCCATGGAATGTAAATAGTAGCATTTCGCGTTAGCCGACAGCGCTATCACAACTTCGACGCACTAATGCTACGTTCACACCGGACGCGAATAGGGCGTCAGGCGCGAATGATTTCAATGTTAAGTCAATGCAAGAAAAATTCCTGCGGCGCGAATGAGGCGTGGAGCGCGGCGCGGAAGACGCGAATACGCCTCATTCGCGCGTCAAGTTGGCGCGAATGGCGCGAATTGAGCGTTGTGCATTCACGCGTTTGACGCGAATTCGCGTCTGCCGCCCGAGTTGAAAAATCTGAACTTTGGCGTGAATTCGCGCCGCGTTAACCAATCAGGAGCCTAGCTGCTTGCTCACGTGGTGAAGTGTCTGGATGCTTCAATAAATTATTTTGTTAATATGACTAAATGCATGGTGGGATTATGCACAACAAAGCAAATGTTTCATCACTTAAAACATTATTTCTATATGGAGACATGTTCATTTTGTATTGAATGTTATTCATTCCATATCTAGAAATAGTATTATGTTGTAAAGACAGACATCCCAAGTCTCCCGGAAGTTCCGGGAGTCTCCCGCATATTGATAGCGTCTCCCTGATGCCCGCAAATTAGTTCAAATCTCCCGGAATCTAGAGCGAGACATACTGCGCGCATAACATAGCGCGCTATATATATATATATATCAACATATGTGCATGCATACATTCGTGTCTGGACGTGAGAGAGAGAAAAAAAATCACAGGACAGGTTAATAACTTTTGAAGGCTGGCTCTAGGCTATTTATTATCAAAACAAAAATAAATGACAGCTAGATTAGATGGATGAGGAGCCGGGCGAGGGTGATCCTCGCTCAGATGCGGGACAACAGGTCATCAAACTGGGCGCGTGACAGGCGGAAGTACCGCTGACAGCGGCCGTCATCCAGCGCAGCTCCTGGAGCGAGCAAATGGTGAAACTCGCCAAACGGTTCGGCTCCGAAGGGTCCGGTGGACACAAATATACGGCGACGATGATCCCCACGCCGCTGTTCTGCTATCCAGAGTAAATACAGAGCGGTAACTCTCTTGATGAATGCTCGGTCGACATAAAAACAATGACCGCCAACGGATTTTGATTCTGACGCGCGTCACGCGCGTAAATTTCGCTTCAAACTTTACGCCAGTTTCGCTCTCTCTTTGAGTGACAGTTTATCTATCCAGTTGCAATAGAGAATGAAATGACGCTATTTTCTGATAGCCAATGAATTTCTGAAAAGACTGAAATGCAGCTTTTGTGGAATCATCCGATTACATTAGAATCCGTGCGCAAAAGCGAGAGTGATTCTCTGCGCGCGTGTGCTTAAACACAACAATCATCACGTGACAGGCTGCGCCGCTAAACTGGATATCGCTCATATTTTTTTCTCCCCTCCGATCTCCGATCTAGCGTTCTGGGCCGGTATCGGCGCGATACCGATGCCGTGGATCGGATCGGGACATCCCTAATATATATATATATATAATTGGGATAAATGTCAGTGAACAATCAGTTGATGCAACACACACAGGCACACTATCTATCTATCTATCTATCTATCTATCTATCTATCTATCTATCTATCTATCTATCTATCTATCTATCTATCTATCTATCTATCTATCTATCTATCTATCTATCTATCTATCTATCTATCTATCTATCTATCTATCTATCTATCTATACCGTATATGTAATTCAAATTTAATTTAAAATATTTTAAAAACATATGTATTGTTGTTTTCAAAAACTGAACGGATATTTGTGGCACTGCTTTACCAGTGTAAATGTTCCCTTTTGTAATGTCTTTTTCGAGCTTTCTCTTCACTTTATCAAACTCGTCATCCGGGTTATGCCACTGTGAAAATGTATTTCCTGCGAATGATAGAAAATGATTATAAATAAAAGGGAATTTAAGAAAGGAATTTTGCATTTACAAAAAAAAAATGTTGTTTTCAGGATTTCCCTCACCTTGCCAGTTGAAGCATCCAGGTGCACCGAGGAAGATATTCATCTGAGTGACAGCAGCAGACATTCCAGCCAGACACATTCCTTCATTAGTCTGATCGTCTCTGGGGTCACACACCTCATCATACGACTGCCACTGAGAGTCTGTTTTGTTAAACTCTAAATTATTTCCACGAACAAAGCACTTCCCAATCATGCGAAAGTTGGTTGCGAAGTTCCGTATATAACGATGGCCACACGCCTATTAAATAGAGAGGTGAATACTAATGTTAAGTTGGAAAGAGCAATGGATTGACTTTTCATAGACCAGAGGCCAACATTACAAGCAGGGGCGAAAATTTCATCAAAATGTTGGGGGGGACAATAAACATAACAATTCTCAAGAGCAAATTTTGAAGGGGACACCAATAATACAGGCAAAAAAATACAGAGGAAAGCCTTACTACTATTAGCATGGAGACCATTTCATTATACTTCTTAAAATTTCTTTCTGGTTTAAGCCAGCGGCGAATCTATTTACATACTCTCCTCACACAGCGTAGCGATTCATTTCATTTATTGACTCATTCTTTAACTATATTAACCCTTATGCTGCATTAGGGACATTTTTGGTCTTTTGCAGTTTAATTTCTTTGACCATTTTGGCTGTTTTAATGCAAATGGTATGAAATTTGGCAAAATTGTGACTTTTTGGATACATGTAAAAAATGTGATCCCATTTTGCAAAATATGTATAACACACACTGTGTAGATCAAATAGTAACACTCAGCACCACAAAGACCAAAAATGGCCCATTGAAACCCATTAAAACGTTGTTTAAATCCGAGGCTGTCAGTAATACATGAAACATGATTTTTGCACAAACATCCTTTCATTTTGAAGCAAAAGCATTATATTTGCATTATATAGTGTATTCCACCAGATGACGTCACTACATATTTATTCCCTATGGGTGGAAATGCACCTTATTTTAGGCAATAGGCAATGTTTAAAGGGTAACTAAACACCAAAACAACTTTTTTTAGTTAATGATCTGTAAGAATGGAGCCTCATAAATGCTGTTCATTGATCCGAGTACATTTTTTGACAATTGAGTATAAAGTGTTTTGATTTTCAAATATATGGTGTAAAAACGTCTGAGTGCTGCCCTCTTCAGGTTAAACGGAAAGCTCCTGCAGTAGGGGTACTTGCTGACGTAGCGAACTCTCAGACGCACTCTGTCACACCCTTGGTGCGAGCTCACCACGCCCTTGGCAGCCCCTGGTATAAAAGCATCTGGTTCCGTCAAAACTACTGTAGCGAGTCAGGAGTTGGATTTATGAGTATTGAAAACGATCAGGATATCATATACAGGGCCGGCCCGAGGCATAAGCGAACTAAGCGGCTGCTTGGGGCCCCCTGGCCACCAGGGGGCCCCCTAATCGAGGTTATTTTTTATTTTTATTTTTTTAGATGACTTAAACAAGTGACATAAATCAATGAATGAATGAATATGACTGAATGAATAGTTCAAGACAACAAAATTCTGATTTAATGGTCAATATACCTGCCTACAAGTTACAACTGCTGCTCTGTCTGCCAGCGTTTAAGAAGTCATACGCATAATCTTCTAGACACCTCGCGCGTGCATAGACAATTCGTGCGCAACTGCGCCTAGTCACGGTATCGGTTTAAGTTGGAGAAAATAGCCCGCAGGAGAACTTATCCTTCAAGGTGTAAGGGTAGCAGTTTGAATAAATAATAAACATAGCAGTTTGAACTCTTCTCCACTTTATTATACCACACATCAGATCTCCAAACACCCGCGACACTCCAGTAGCCTAGCAAGTGCGCACGACCCATCTACGGCAAGCCCCGAGGGGAAAAATACATTGCATACACACATACAACGAGCGCCTGAACATCATAACCGGTATTATAGTAACAGACTGTGTTGATTATGTCATGTACTATATAACAAAGTCTGTTACAATAATAAAAATAACAATAATAAAGATTTTGAGGATAGTTACTCTGTATTGAGACAGTTGAGAAATAGGCTAGTAATATTTTTAGTTTTCAACAATAGCTGAGACCCAGAAAGTTTTTTTTTTTTAATTTAGTTTTTTTTCATGTCATCACATTGTTTAGAGCATAATAAACAAATGGTAAAAAAAAAAAAAAAAAACCTTTTTGAAAAATTATATTTTATTCATATGTAATACTTTGTCCTCTGTAGTGGACACCAGGACTCAGTTGTTAAAATTAAATGACATACAATGTGTAGGCAAAAACAATGGGATTTTTTTTCCAATCACCAATACATTTTGGGGTTTCAGGATTTTTTTGAACTAAAATTTGTATAAAGATGATTATCAACTATGTTATGAAAGATATAATGGAATTAATTGATACACCAATTTACTTTATGCAATATATGGGTAAAATTGGCATAAATTAATATTCCCATTCAATGCAAAGTATCTATACACTGTATCTAATTTGCACATTAATGTGTTCTTGGAGCAACATTTAATGAGGAAAGAAGTGTAAGCATTGGCGTAATAATAAGCAACATTTTAATAATAATATCTAATATGTCATAAGAATATTGACGTATAATTTATTTACATATTCACTTGTTATGTCTCCCAGAATGCCTGATAAACATGATTTATGTCCTGATGTTCTCTACAGTGGACATGAATGAAATCAATGCCCTGTAACGCAAAGTCATTTTTTTCATTTGAAACCCCATAACATTTTCATGAGATGTTGGTTGATGAAATACAATTTGAAAAGTAGTTAGATTTAAATTATAATTACAATATATTACCATATTTCAATAAGAGTGCTACATTTGATCACTAAATTAATGTTAGACATTTTTAAAGACCAAGGAGAAGTTGTTTTCATGGTGAAACCTCCAAACATTTGGTATCTCTGTATTGCCCTGAATGTGCTCTTTACAGGACATCCAGAAAAAAAAATGTGCCATGCATGGTGTCAGAGAAATACACTAAAATATAATGTCCACTACAGTGGACAAAAGTCTATTCCTGGGTCCCAGGAGGATAGGCCAAAGTATCATTGCTCTTACGTTTCTAATTTCTCAGTTTTGTCATAATTTTAGCAAATAATTTATTGTATAGCCTATGTTTTGAGACAGTTTTAAGACTGTTTTCAAACTTTTTTATTTAAGTAGGCATCTATTTTTTTATTAATACATAACCTCAGTGTATTCATTTATAATGTATCATTTTTGCGTGACATTTATGTCAATAATCGTCAAACACAGGTGACTCCGCGTCGTGGGAGGGGCCCCCAAATCAAATTCTGCTTAGGGCCCCCAAAAGGCTCGGGCCGGCGCTGATCATATATTAGTTTAGTACAGTGATCAGGATAGTGACGGAATAGAGGTGGACATGGGCTTCTCCACACAGCTCCACACGCAGTGCCAAACACTGCTCGTCCTGCATGTACTCCTCCACCGCAGCGGCGTCTTGATGTGAGTGATCATGGATATTTTAATCACAATTTATGGTTAGGATAAAGTTAATCCTCTGGGGTCGACAAACGAGCCGGTGCATTTTGCTGGATTTTGACAGCAAAATGCGGCAGAATATCAATTTTCACATAGCGGCAGAATATCAATATGAATACATGCCCACAGAGCGTGCGCTATTGAGATCAACTCGACGACAAAACTCATCAGATGCCGGTCGCGATGCGGGAGTTAAGACCGCAGTTTGAGCCAGCGGCTCGAATGGATTTGGCCCTGTGTCTACATACAATTCACCCTCATCCACTTCAGGTGAAGGTGAGGGAGAAAAGTCCTCGACTTCAAATGGCCGCTCTGTTGCAAAGGCAGTTACTTGCGTCACTCTAGTCTCGCTCTATTTTAGAGTCTGACAGCAGCTCTCACTCACGGCGGGTCTCAGGTGCACGCCCCCTGGCCCCGCTGGGGTCTGCCCATTTTTTCAGCATTTTTCAAATATTGCTAGTGGGTGGAGTCAGGCTCTGACCAGGGGTTTAGTTACTCTTTAATAGGTGTGAAAGCGTTACAATCTAAATGCACAGCGCACCCGGACTTTCTCATCAGTCTATGGCCGGCAATATTGTAATGTTTAATGACATGAAGATAATGTCTGTTCTAAGTTATTATTGTACTGTACAATTAAATACAATCGTTCCTGAGTCTGCAGTCTGAAAACTTTACCTCAGATCATCCGTTTACTGAATGAATTGAGAATCTCACCTGAAAAATCAAATAACACCAGCAATTGTCATTCAAGCAGCTGATTTCTGTAAATAAATGCAAAACTAAATGCATATTGCAGCATAGGGCGAAGTCAGGATCCGTCAGCACCGATTCGAGACAAAAATAATTTAAATTGTATATAAAACTATGTAACGTTAAATGGCGCTCTGTGGCGCAGCAGGGTTTTGAACACTGTCCTGAGCCGTTGCTGGGCGCCGCGGACAGACGCCGAACGGCGCCGCCGGTGTGTGTACACTCATAGAGAATAATGTGTTCGAATTTTAAAGACGTGGCGCTGCGCGACGCGACGCTTCTCGTCCGGTGTGCGACCCCCTTTACTGGAGTTCCACAACTATTCAAAAACTATGTTTTTCTCTCCCGCCACCGGAATGTGTGTGTCTGAGGTAAAAGGGACGGAGGCAGTGGACCAACGCACTGTGAGGCAAGGGAGGGGGGTCTCAAAATGTTTAGAACGCTTTTTTCGTTATTGCCCCGTTTGCATTTGTTATTTTATTTCTTAATTATTTTAAGAATATATCATTACATTATTTACAATACACATATTTTTATTTTTTTTTGGCTGGGGGGGACGACCCTCAGATAGGGGGGGTCCTGACCCCCCCGACCCCCCCGCGATTTCCGCCTATGATTACAAGTAAGAGGGGTCAGGTCTTTACTATGAAACTCACCAATACACGGCCCCCTGGTTGACTCTGACTGGCTATCGACACACCAAGCCACATCCCATCTATGACATCATTTTTAGGGTCTGGTTTATCATCAGGATCTGCATAACACAAAGCAATTATTCAGATCGGTTCTCTCTGTAGTAACACGGAGACATGATGGCTGTCACACTTTGAAATAGTCTCATCCAACAGCAACAGTACTAAATTGCACATTTCCTTTCACATAAAATAATACAGATAATAAATGAAATAAAAGAGGAGAAAATTAATAATGCATATTTAAAAGGATAGTTCACCCAAAAATGAAAATTCTGTCACTTTTTACTCAACCCAACCCCGTAAGACCTTCGTTCATCTTCCGAACACAAATTAAGATATTATTGATGAAATCTGAGAGCTGGATCACTCCATACTACTCCATAGGCTTCTTGAGGAATCGAAACTTGCCGGCCTCAAAAAGTTATTAAAGACATTGTTAAAATAGTCCAAGTGACTACAGTGGCTCAATCTTAACTTTATCAAGCGACGAGAATACTTTCTGTGTGCAAAAACAAACAAAAATAAAGACTTTATTTCAACTATTCACTTGCTTCTCTCTGGGCCTCTGTTCAGTTAACGTAGTGTGATAGCGCAGAGCTACGTCACACGTAGGGTCACTATTGGCTGACGCTGGTCATGTGTGTGATGCGTGTGACGTACAATAACAGAAGCTTACGTTATTAAACTAGTAACCTGACTCGAGGCAGAGAGAGAAGTAAATGAATAGTTGAAATAAAGTCGTTATTTTTGTTGTTTTTTGCGCACAAAAAGTGTTCTCGTCGTTTGATAAACTTAATATTGAGCCACTGTAGTTACTTGGACTATTTTAACGATGTCTTTAATAACTTTTCCGGGCCAGCAAGTTTTGATTCCCCAAGAAGCCTATGGACTAGTATGGAGTGATCCATCTCTCAGATTTCATCAAAAATATCTTAATTTGTGTTCGGAAGATGAACGAAGGTCTTACGGGGTTGGAACAACATGAGGGTGAGTAAATACTGACAGAATTTTCATTTTTTGGGTTAAAAATAATAATAATGACAATAAATATTATTAAAATTATGAATAGAATTATTCATAATTATTCAAAATGAACCGAATTTAAAAATAACAACAACATTAATAATATTTATAAATACTGCAAATGGAGAAAAGGAGCAAATTTAAGCGTCGTATGATTGGCAGGAAAATTACTTGAGTTGAGCAGATTCAGTCTTTTGCAGTCTTTGCTCTCTGCAGTCATTTGACAGGCATATACATCTCCAGTCTCATTGGCTGACAGTCCAGACTCTGCTTTCTCCTTCGGTGCTCCTACAAGAAGTCTAAAACATGTATAAACCTGATTGAGCTCAAGTCTGTCTCGAGGCAGTGTATTACGCCAGCTGCTGCAGTAAAACAGTAATGGTTGTTGGAGAGGAAAAAAAACATAAGGGTAAGGCAAAAATCCCACCACGCCAAGAACCATCTTGTATCTTCCCAAAATGTAGTTTTCAATGCAGATTAACTTCAGCAAGCCTAACCGTTATCTGTCTGGGCTTGTCAGGCTATGTGAACTTATTTTGGTTGGAAGGACTTGTCAGAACCTATTACTTCAACTATGGACAGAAAAGCCCTGTAAAAGCTAGTCTTTCAACTACTTTCTGAAACCTGATGTTTAAAGTGTATAATAAACATACACCATCTAAAAACCACAGGAGATGAGGATCAAATTTTACTCAAATGTTCATTTTCAAACAATAAGGAGAATGGGTTTGCGACTTCGTGTAATACCCGAACAATAGGGTGTCTCTCCTTCTCTTCCTCGCATTTCCAAAGGTGAGCTATTATGATGCATTCGCTCTCCATTCCTTGCAGAGAAAATAGCTTACTCAAGCTCCCCCTATGGATGAGTAACCATTTTGTTTTTGATTATTAAATCTAGATAGATACGAGTCAGGTTTAAGATACCCACATCTCCCATCAAGCAATAGATGTAATCCTCTAGAGCCCACGAGTGAGCAGAATTAAAGAGGCATTTCATAAAACCATAAATCTAAAAATCAATGAATTTTATTTCAATGTTTGTGAGAGCACGACAGACATAATAATTACTAAAGCAGTGCTGCTGTGTGCTCGATTCATTAATGTTTCATGATTTTTGGAGTCATGCTCAGTTGCTATTTTATCCACCTTGCAGCCTGAGGCCTCATAAATATTCCACTCTGTGAGAGATGAGATCTCATCAGATCATGACTCGTGTCTAACAGGATTATGAATTGGCTTAAGTGGGAGACGTGGTCATTTCAACTTCTTTAAATTCAGTTTGGCAAATTTCAACCGAAATGCATTGTCTGACAGTATAATGAACATAAAATTCAGAACATGGGTAATAAATAACTTGAATATAGACACTAAGTAGGATTTTCTGATTCTAGTATACTCGCTTATTGTGTCATTGTAATTTTCCTTACAATTTCCAATGTAAATACAATTTACATTTTCATTATCAAAATTTTATAGACTTAAAGGGTTAGTTCACCCAAAAATGTAAATTCTGTAAGTATTTACTCACCCTCACGTTGTTCCAAACCCGTAAGACCTTCGTTCATCTTCCGAACACAAATTAAGATATTTTTGATGAAATCTGAGAGCTGGATCACTCCTGCATACTGGTCCATAGGCTTCTTGAGGAATTGAAACTTGCCGGCCTCGCAAAGTTATTAAAGACATCGTTAAAATAGTCCAAGTGACTTCAGTGGCTCAATCTTCACTTTATCAAGCGACAAGAAAACTTTTTGTGCGCAAAAACAAACAAAAATAACGACTTTATTTCAACTATTCACTTCCTTTTCTATGAGCCTCTATTCAGTTAACGTAGTGTGATAGTGTAGAGCCATGTCACATGTAGGCTCACTATTGGCTGACGCTGGTCATGTGTGTGATGCGTGTGACCAACAATAACAGAAGCTTACGCTATTAAACTAGTAACCTGACTCGAGGCAGAGAGAGAAGTAAATGAATAGTTGAAATAATGTCGTTATTTTTGTTGTTTTTTTGCGCACAAAAAGTGTTCTCGTCGTTTGATAAACTTAAATTTGAGCCACTGTAGTCACTTGGACTATTTTAACAATGTCTTTAATAACTTTTCGAGGCCAGCAAGTTTCAATCCCTCAAGAAGCCTATGGACTAGTATGCAGGAGTGATCCAGCTCTCAGATTTCATCAAAAATATCTTAATTTGTGTTCGGAAGATGAACGAAGGTCTTACAGGGTTGGAACAACATGAGGGTGAGTAAATACTGACAGAATTTTTATTTTGGGGTGAACTAACCCTTTAAAGCCATAGTTCACTCAAAAATAAAAATTCTGTCATATTTCACTCCCCCTCATGTCGTTCCAAACCTGCATGACTTTCTTTCTTCTGCTGAATACATTTACATTTTTATTTAGTCATTTAGCAGACGCTTTTATCCAAAGCGACGTACAACTTAGGACTAAACCAAGCGAGTCATCGTGGAGAGGCAAAAACAACGCAAGAAGTGCTCAAAATACAAAGTTCAGACATTGCTCGGAGTAGCATAAGCCAGATAAGCGTGGATTTAAAGGAATTTAAAGGATTTTTTTATTATGTTAAGTGCTCACGGAAGAGATGAATTCAAAAGAGGATATTTTGAAGAACTGTTTTTGATCATTTAATGAAAGTCAGTGGACTCCAAAACAACACTCGACCCCTACCAATTTACAATTTGGTGAACTATCCCTGTAAATCATGGTTCTAGTCCTGTCATGTATCCAAATGCCATAAGTGAACATATTATTGCTAATATACGCTGCCACAAAAAAGAACAACAAATGCACAGTCTGATGTTTCCTTTGTGGTCATTTTCACAACATTCCTTTCCGCTGTAACACAGTTTTTGTACTTGTTCATATGCATCACACATTGTGGTGAGGTAGACTGTGAAGAGGACACAGACTGAGGTCAAAGTCAAAGGTAGGGGAAGAGAGGAAGAAGACATGGAGGGATAACGAAAAAGAAAGGTGAAGTGAAAGACATCCCTCCCTCTCCCGTTGGGCCTAATTTCATTTGGACCCCCACTAACATCCCCCTCAAAACCACCACCACCAACCACAATCAGCTTGCTGCTCCGCGTCATTGCTGTCATGTGACTCCAGATCTGCTTTCAGCAAGGACGAGACAGGAAATGAGAAAGTCAAGCGAAGGTGAATGAGCGAGAAAGAATGTCAGATTCTTCCTCGTCGCTGCATGTTCACCACGCACCACAACAGTACCATTTACACAAAACAGGCCTTTACTTAAAGTCTTAAAGGAGCGGATGCAACAAAATGGTCTGTTCAATTCTAAGCATCAGAGAGAGAGTGGAATTAAAAACTAAATTATAAGAGGTTTTCTTGTAAATGATAGTTGATCCAAAAAACAACAATTCTGTCATCATTTGCTGTTGCATTATGATCATTGCATTATGTCATTCCAAACCTTAATGGCTTGCTTTCTTCTGTGGAATAAAAAATATATTACGTGAAATGTCTCAGTGATGTTTTTTTGTTGTTGTTTTTTGTCCATACAATGGAAGTCAAAGGTAACCAAAACTCATACAAACTCATACAGAAGTCATACAAGTTTTGGAATCACCTGAGAGTAAACAATGACAGAATTTTCATTTTCGGGAGAAATATTACTGGCTAAATACATACTGGTTAAAAATCAGTCATCCATAAACATTACCATTTAACCTAAACATATACTGGTCATACACAGTTCAAAGGTGACAGATTACATTACTCCCATAATGTAACAAGCAGTTTGTTTGGTGAATCATGCCACCAGTCCAGTACATTCCTTTTAAGCTTAAACAGATACCAGTCACATGACATTGGTTACCACTATAATCACTACAGTTCTGGTGGTAAGCAGCACATACCTCAGAGGCAAGTTTATAAACCAGTTGAGGAGAACTTAATCTTTTCCACAGGATTAGTCTTTATTTTGCTTTTCTGTCAAGATGGAAACATCATTCGGTGAACAGAAAATAACACAGATTACACTTTTATTTTTGGTCTAGTGAATCTTTTGAAGATATATGACATCTGGAATTGTCCTTTAGAAGTTTAGAGGTTAGAACATTTTAATAGAATGACTTTTTTTACATTTAAAAAACGCATACTGCATATATGTATATGCCTCTTTTTGATTTAAATGAGCTATTGAAAAGTTCTGGCTTGAGAAAAAAAAAACAGCTATGAGTCAGATAACATGGAAATCAACTTCCCACCTGCAGAAGAAGAAGGTGTGTCTGCTTCAGCATTTTCACTGAATAAATTTCAGGGCCAGAGTTCACATGTTGTACCTTTGTTTAATGTGCGTGTCTTAAAATACACCACACACACACACACACACACAAAAGGTCCCGTTCTAGAAGCCTGACCTCTTGGTAAATAGTCCTTACAGAAAAAGGTCCCATGCTCAGTGGCCATGCTCTGTGTTTAAGCCTGTCTGGCCATGAACAAAGAACTTTCACATTCAAGGTCAGGCAGGTAAAATGCATGTCCCCAACCGCCTACATATAGTGATGCATGAATGTGAAAGCAACCAAAAATAATCTGCACAAAGTATGTACAGTTCTAGAGAGCTCTGTGCAAAAAGAGATCAAATGCAAAGACAATTATTTTACAAAAGATTTATATCTTAAATCATTTGTGTTCTTTTTATCTTTCTATTTATCAAAGAATCCTGAAAAACAGTATCATGGTTTCCACAACAATATTAAGCGGTACAACTGATAATAAAATCGATAAGAAATGCTTCTTGAGCAGCAAATCAGCATATTAGACCAGCATGCGACACTAAAACTGTAACGATGCTGGAAAATAAATTACATTTTAAAATATATTAAAATAGAAAACAATTATTTTTCTTTTTTTAATATTATTTACTATTTTTTGAATAGTAATATTTCACAATATTACTATTTTTACTACATTTTAACCAAATAAAGGCAGCCTTGTTTGGACTCACCATAAGAGACTTCTTTTATTATTCAAAATTAGTGACCCCAAATATTTTAACAGTAGTGTGTATTCATATTTCATAAAACCATGCATAGTTTATCACAGACATGAGACACTTAAGCATTTAACTAAACAGTCACTAAACTGACAAACACTTTTTACCTAGAACATTCACAGGGTGACAAGTCTCATGCTTGACATTCCAGCTGTTTCAGATTAATGAATAATCCAATCCTAAAACCCATGATGCTCCACGAGACAAACCTACTCAACTTCAGCTGAAACTGTTATAAGATGTACTGCTAGACCACTCAATGATTTTAAAGTAGTGGTTGACAAAGTTTTCAACTCCTATCCTATTCAACTGATAACTCAATCACTATAATAACATTTTATAACTTTAATACTCATTGTGACTTCACAGTTTTCTTGATTACGGGAGTGTTCAAGTCTTGTCACGACTTGTAGACATGGTGTCTATAGAAGTCTAATGGGCATGCACGCTCGCAAACAACATTAGCAATAATTTAACACATTGTCAAATTTGGCTATATGTAAAAGAGCACTAAATACCAATTCAGGCAAAGCTTTTAAATATATGTTCAAGTGAGTTATTTCACAGTAATAATGGATATGTGTTTAGATTTAGACAGATAACAGACTTTGACACAAACCTTCACAGCTGTGAACCGGATAACCACAGCTGCTAATAAAAGAATTGCCAGACAACCAAACAGACAAGAAATCACACAGGAAGTTCAAAACACAAAACAGCAGCATATGTTTTGCTTAAATTTAGAACTTTCAGGAAAAGTTGCAGTGTGCACTGCAGCAGTTTTCAATGGGGCAGAACACTGTGATTACAGATACATGAATACAATAATTATACAACAGTTTGTTTTGCAGCCATGTAATCTGAATGGCCAAGCAGCGCATCAGTGTGCTAGTGTGCACCAAAGGTGAGCAAACAAGAATGACCAAACAGTTCTTAGAAATCGTTAGCCTCATAGCATAATTGCCTTAGTGTTTTTTTCTTGTTTTCCAAAAGCCATTGTAATATGCCTTAGGCAATTATGCTATGAATGAAGCTAACGAAATGTGACATATTAGATCATTATCTAGTCTCGTCTGTACTCCATTTAGCCAAGGCTGCGAAACCAACCCCGCTACAATGTTAGGAAGATCACTTCTACTTCTCATTTTACCAGATAACTCAGAATAACTCAATGTTGCAAGTGCAACATAAACTATTGACTCTCTCTTTTCCAGCACTTTAAACATGGTTGCTCCTTTGACATTAAAGAAGATTAAGGAAAATAGTCAGAGAAGCGTGGTATAACTAGCACACTAGAGCCCTCAAGAGCAGCCCGAAAACAAAGGAAGAAGCAGCTGGAAGGAAACAAAACTATAAGTATTTTGCATTTCGTGGAAGGAAAGTGTTATTGCATAAAGATAGAAATCTGCTTTCAACTCTTCAGCGAGAGACCGTGTCTACAAGACAATCCCCTGTGAAGGCCTCGTCGACAACAAATCCTCAGAAAAGACCAAAAGAACCAGATAGGTCCTCTACACACACCCTATGGCCAGCTTCGGCTCCATACCGGCATGATGAATCTGATCTTCAAAGCAAAAGGAACTGGATGAATATTTGAATGCTACCTATCCTGATCTGCATTCTGAATTGTGATCCAGGCTAAATCATAATCACGACGAAGTGTTCAACCATTGACCAGAGGAGAACTGCCTAGAGGAGAGCTACATATTACATAAATATATCTTGCCCAACTATCAAGCCATTTTCAAAGTCATCCTGGGAGATTAACAGATTAAACAAAGAAAGCAGTTGTAATTTAACTCTACCATCTACTGTACCCACAGTGACCTTGCTATGCATCTTCTGACAAGATTGAGTCATCCATCATTCGCACGACTGAGATCCATCCATAGGCTGAACCACTAGCAAATGCTTAAAGCTTACATGATGGTAGCTTCAAGCATTTGATGCAGTTGTTCAGCCTATGGAGCTCAGTCGTGCGAATTTCAGCTTGTTATTTCCTAGAGTAGTTAAAAATGATGAGTTGTGGTCTGTGGTCATGAAGATCTGAGAACTGTACTGACCTTTTTCTGTACACGAACAGTGCTAAAGCAGTTCAGCTGCTCTAGCTAAAGCCTTCACATGAAGGAAACAGGTTATTAATCTGTGATGAGACAAATGACCAAAGATCAGGCCACAGAAAGACAGAACACACAGGACGTCCTTGTGTGTCACTGAGCCAGTCCTTTATGTGTTCGACAAGATGATGAATGTCTAGCCAGCCAGTCCAATTAATATCATCACGACTATCTCAGTTCTCAAATTGTCCACACAGTCAGTGCAGATAAGATCAGGAGGACAGTTCTGAACAGTTTATGCGACCATGGACAGGGAAGCATGTGAAAGCAAATCCTAACCCTTAGTACAAAAACACATAATGTATATCCACATCAATTTAAGCTTCCTTCTCAATTTTAAATTAGCTCCAACCTGAATAGGCAGAGTAGAAGACAAATGCAGTGCTCTTCCTTTGAGGTTCAATGACAGGTAATCAGGAAGTCACCAGCCAATTTATTTAGCAACACAGGCAGCTTCACATTAGCTTGGATGACTTAATGACAAGAGCAGAGACAAACACTGAATCTGTTTTTCCTTTGTTTGAACATTAGTCGCACAACATATGACAAACAGCAACCATTTAAACCACACTGCTTTTGAGAGTAAAACGTTCATTGGAATAGGGAAATGAGCCAGTTCAGACATCACTACTCTCTTGTGGTTGTTCTTCTTACATCTGTTAACAATCAAGAGACATGTCGTATGATTTATTTAGTCTGCTTTACTTCATTCTATGTACGTGTGTCCTACTTGCAGTCGAATCAAAACATTATAAAATTAAATCAGACAATTGTATTATCTCTATTGTGCTTGCAGATCTCACACCCATATAATGTGAGACATGTTTTAAGATTGGTTAGATGTGTGGTTTCATTTTGTATATCACTTTAGGCCATTATATATATAAATCTTTATTGCGTTGTGGTTTTAACATGTTTATCCTTGTGTCTCCTTTATATGCTGATGACTAAATTGAGAAGTCAGGGTATTCTGTTATAGCCACCATACTGTATATCTGTCAGCAATTAACATGTTTTTGAAATACCTCCGTTTCAAATAAAAGCCACAAAGTGCCAAAGTATTTTGCCTGAGCCACAAATTGTTATTTAGCTCTGTCATGGTTACATTTATTGTTTATATGCTCAAATGCAGTCTTTCTTTTTCATTTTTTTCAACTGGGCTGTATGTTACGAAGGGCATTATATCCGTTCGTATAAACAGCCTATGCGAGTCAGTTCAGTAAGACGGCTGGATTTCACTGTGGAATTATTATTTCTTGGGGGATGTGAAAAAGAAGCATTGTGTGCAAACCTGCACTTACATTCTCTGCAAAGGTGGTGGTTTTCTACTTTTCCCACCGAGCATCTTTAGCAAAAATGTTATGTCACGCTATAAAATTGATTTATAGCTGTTAGACTGCAGAGAATATGATATTGTTGTTGAGTTTGGTCTTCTTGCATGCTAACTCCCTGGAAGGCACTGTACTGCCTTATGGGGCTGGCAATACAGCACTCATAATCTCCCATTCATTTAAAGAGAATCATAAATAAGTGAACTACAAAGGAAAATCTGCTTTAGTCATCAGCAAATGGGTTTTAGTGACAACTGTAAATGATCCAATGGTTAGATATTTGACTACAGCAGGGGGTAATTGGTCAATGTGTACAACTCAGAAGGCCTTAACTACATCTTATTTCGTTTATTTTCATCTATTCAGTTATTATGCACATTTCACAGATGTTATTCCTGACCTTTTGGCCTTCAGTATCCATCAGGACTTTCATTCATCACTACATTTTCAGTATGAAAACTGAAACTAAGTGTTGTCAAAACTAAATATCTAAGCTACAGTTTTTTAGAACAAAGGCGGCAAAGTTTGTTGTAGCAACTATAACGGCTATACAACATTAGACAAGCAAGTGCATGACCTGCCCAGCCCCAGCAATTCACAGTATGTCTCATTTCCTCTTGTGAAATGGAGCTTTCATGTTAATCATTTACCTGAGTTAATCGAGTTAATTCAATGGCCAAAAACTGAAACAAGGAGATTCAGACATGCACAATGTCCCAAAACGTTTTCAGGTTTTCATCATATTAAGTCAAAACAAGAATGTAGTTTGCACACTGTAGTAGTAATAAGATTGTTACATTAATGGTCTATTTTTAATTAGTTTTGTTGGTGCAACAATTGCATCACTTTAACTTTAAACATTATTAAAATGACTTTTAAAGGATTTGTTCACCCAAAAATAAAAATTCTGTCAACATTTAGTCACCCTCAAGTTGTTCCAAACCTGTATGAATTTCTTTCTTCTCCTGAACACAAAAAAGAAGAATTTGGTTAACCCAACAGTTCTTCTTCTTTTGTGTTCTGCATAAGAAAGAAATGTACAGTATGTGGTTTGGAACAACTTGAGAATTTTTTTATATTGGGTGAACCATCTATTCTTTAATTCAAAAATGGAAAACATGATCATCATATAAAAAATATAGGCTGTTGTTCCGTATAAATCGCATTTGTAATGTATTCGTGCGTAACTAAATAAATCTGTAGGAGAGAAAAAAAAAGCAATAATTGACCAACATAAAAATAACTTCTTTAGGCTATAAAACAACGTTAATGCAGAGATCAAACGCTCAACAGGTGCACATCCGTGAGAAGATCTTGTCCTTCTTAAGACATTTGACATGAGGTCAGCTAATTTATATTGAAATAATATAGCCTACTTACAGGTGTCTCTTCTCTCCTACGACCTGCTCGTGAAGTGCAACAGAAAGTCCAAACAAACTGCCTGCGTTTCCCTCTTTGACGACTGCAAACCTCACATCCAAGTTAAACGTTTGACAGCAACGAGCGGCGCTCAACACGAAAGCCAAGACAATCGTGTATTTACTGAGCCCGTGGCAGGAAAACGCATTCATTTTTTTTCTATTAGTCTCTGCGAAGGTTTTGTTGGGCGAGACAGACACAGAGAGCGGAGAAAGATGAGTCTATCAAGGTCTGAACAGGAGCGAATTTGTCAGACGCTGTGAACTTATTGTTCATATTCGTCATTCTTCCGGGATGTTGAAAACGTGACTGGAGGGCATTGAAATGGAGCGCGCGCCCGCGGACACCTTGATAGAGGACGAACTTGCACAGACAACACTCACAGTTGCAATCTGTAATGTCTAGAAAGGCTTTTCAACCTTTTTTTTATGGTCCACTGTGGGACGCTTTCCTAAATATATCATGTATATTTACAACAGTTGTAGTTTGCCATGTTTTACTTTATAATACTGTCATGACAAACAAATGTTGTTTTGAAACAGTTTTTGTTTTGTATAGCCTACTAAACACACACACACACACACACAAAAAAATTAATCTATTTTACTGAAAAGTTCATAGTATATTTTTTCTGCCTATATATAAACCAGAAAGGAAACATTCATTTTCTATGCATCTTTTTACGAGAAAAAAAATCTTGAAAATATCTGTATTGAAAACATTTTTACAAGACTACAGATATTGTTAATTTAAATGTTAAAAACTAGGACTGACAAAATAATAAAATAATAGTGATTTATCTTATGATTTCCATTTTTAGAAAGCAGAATGAAACAATAAAAAGGTTTACAGTCAATGTTCAAAATATTTTACACTTTTTTCCTTAAAAATTTTCCACTGATTCTGAAATACTAATGATCTCTCAAAAGTTCAATTGGGCATAGTCACCACATTTACATCATCATTATTTAAATTGTGTTTAATCTTAAAGGTACAGTAAGTGATTTGTGAGAAATCAACGCAAACAAACACACCCCCTCCTCATTGCTCCGCCCCAAAATGCAGGAACATGCAATGGGCTCTATGCACGGC